CCAAAAAAAAAAAAAAAAAAACAACCCCCACCACGAACAAAGAGCACACACAAGTCAAACACCTCTCGGGACAAGTAATTCTAAGAGAGTGAGAATCCAAAATCCAACTGGAAAAGATTCACTGCTCTCATCACCTCCCCCATCAAAAGTTATAACATCAATCAGTTATGCATAATTGACAGACATAGAAAACAAAGGGTCTGGGCATCTCACGTGCGACCACCACTCAACTGCAGATGAAGATATGAGATATGAGGTCCCATGTGCTGATTTATCAGATGGCATTTAGTGTAATGGGGGTAGTTTTGAAAAGAAGATTTGGGAAGTGGCTTATATTGAGAAATGTCGAGGGCGATGTTCTACAGGAGATGGAGGGTGTTTGTTGCATATTATTAAAAAACATTTTGAATGTTTGATTGTAGATGATTTGTACCTTTAACATCTCCCCCACACCCCCTATGTTCTCTTAGTTTGTAGTTACTACTTATAATTGACATTCCACTGCAGCACAGGATTTAGCGGTTACATTTAGAGTCATGGTGTAATCTAGATTTAGTTTGTCTGTCTGTCCACATCTACGGTCATTCGTTTTTGTGTGTATTCAGTAATATAATTTCGTTTATGATGGAATGTCTCTGACATAATGCAGCCATCGTGGCTCATTGTCAAGCTTGTTTTTCAATTGACAGGGGAGGCCTCAGGACAGGATAGCTGGGGGTAAGGAAGAGTACAATGCATTTTTCTACTCCCTTGTATCTACAGACACCCAGGTGTGCAAGTTTTTGCTTCTGTTTTTAAGTCACTTTGTTTGCTGGGATCTGTTTTGCTTAGCTGCATTGTTTTGATGCAGGAAATGTATTACTCAACTAAAAGGCAGCAGTTTTTGATTGATCAAGGTTATAGCTTTAAGGTACAGAGCCTCTCTCACATCTTCAGATTTAATGTTCTATTCTTTTACAATGTTCTCTTCTCCACTGTAGCATATTCCTCTTCTTCAAATTTTCCATTCATAACATCTTAAGATACGATTAATGTTTGAGATGCATATTCTGCTTAGTTATGACCCTTCAACTTATTTTCAGGTAATCACAGGCTTGCCTCCGCCTGATTCAGGAGCCACGTTGAATTATTCTCGTCTTGATGAGCAGCTTGCACTTCTTGGAAAGGTTTGCATACTAGTTTTCTCTTTTTCTAGCTCGAGACAAAAGTGCAATGAGTAACCCTGACAATTCTGATAGCTTTTCTTTCTTTTATGACAGGTGCTAAGTGCGGGTGATGATGCAGTCGGTTTGGAGCAACTAGAAGAAGACACGGATGGCATTGCCCTTCAGAAAGCCCGTCGCTCTGCAGGATCCATGAGTGCAATGTCAGGAGCCAGTGGAATGGTATACATGGAATACAGGTATGGGTTTTATATAATCTTCACTTCATATAATTTTCTTCCTTTCTTGATTTACCGACAGATATCCATTAAATATGTGACATTATATGTTTAAACTACATTGAATGTCTAGTTTGTCATGTTTGGCGAAGCTTATAAGTTTGTCAAACTCTACTTTTAACCCACTTCCCTTAGATCCACAACTTATAATCTGTACTAAACAAGCACTAAGATTATTTGAGCTGAAAATCTGCCTTTTTGTTGTTGCAGTACTGGGCAGAAAAAGCAGCATGGGCAGGCAAAAAGCAAGTTCAAGGACCCGGCTAAGAGACACCATTTGTTCAAAAAACGTTTTGTTTAACTGCATGTTCAAATCTAATTAGTATGAAGAGATTGTAGTACTAACTAGTTTTACTTTGTTGGTTGTCGTGCATACACTAATCTTAATGTATAGTGTTGTTCATTATAATTAATGGTTTTGTAAGTCTCTTTTTCTGGGTAAAGGGATCGTAAAGGGATTGCCCATTGCTGAATTAATCTTAAGATCGTCCCCTCCCATCGACTACAAATATTTTGATATGATAATTCCCAAATTCAAGCATTTTTTGTGTTGATCTCAGAAGTGTAACGGGAGAAATGAGTCTAAGATATATCGATCAATTAGAGTATAACGAACCACAAAATGAACATGCACCAAAATATTGCAAAAATATTGAAAACGAAAGTAGTATGTAAGGAGGGTTATTCTTGGTGTACA